CGTCCGTGACATTACCCCCCTCCTAAGGTCCGTCGGTCCCCGATGGACCCGATGCCGGGGCGCCGTCCGGAGGCCCATTCGAGGTCGGAGGGTGCGGCAGTGGTGAAGTTGACGAGGGGTTGCCAGGGAAGAGATTGAAAGATGGCAGCTGCAATTCGACGTGGGGCAGTGGGGTTCCGCTCGTGGAATTCGTCGATGAGCTCTTGGCAATGAGTGAGGTCCTTTGCCGGCTCCCAGCTGTTCTGGCCTTCGTCGTAGCCCTTCCACTTGACCAGGTATTGGAACTGATTGCGGTAGGTGCGGCTGTCCTCAATCTTTTCGACTTCGTATTCGAGTTCCCCTTCAACCTCCACGGGTTCTGGTGGGGGTGGGAGTATGTGGAAGGTATTTTGTCCAAAAAATCAAGTTCCCAAAACTACTAAATCAGCACAGGTTAAACATGACGCAGGTTCTAATTGCGCAGGTTGGACACCACACAGGTTAGATCATAAAGACGTAGGTACAAAAACAATTTGCGCAGGTTCATTGTAAGACTACACAGGCTGCACTTTGAGCACTTGAGTACACAGGTTACAAGGGTGACACAAAAAACGTAGGTTGTATCTGCACACAGATCACCTAGTTGTTAAAGACAGGTTATTTTTATTCAGCATTGAAATTAATCAATTATTCAAATACAGCACAGAATTTCCAACTTCACTAATTTCTGGTTTGTATTGTCAATAATATGCGCTACCACCAAGTAGGTGAGCGGAAACAAGGCTCAGACATGCTCTCCACCATAACGCTATTAGGTTCAACCAACTCCTTCTGATCCTCCATGGCCTTCACTCTCCGCTGCTGCGTCTCCGGCAGATGATAAGACATTGTGCCTGGGAGACTTATGTTTGCATTGCTTGAGGTTCGCTAGCCGCGTCTGCTGCGTTCGTCAGGATGTCTGCATGAAACGCTGTCCATCAAGATCTGATCCGTCGGGCGCAATGCCGCTGTCATTGTACACTCCCTCTTCATGCAGCCACGGATTTCGCCATGCAGCAGTTCACAGCTGCCCGTTGAACCTGGTGAGTTGGTGCGTAACAATGACTTGCCTGGTCACGTCAACCCGACCAGACCGCAGATTTGGTACTGATGGCTGCTCCGCGGTGACATGGGGGAGTTGGTACGGCGGACCTGTGCCGGGGAGTTCCTACATACGGGTATGGCACACATACCTGATGGTAGCGACTGGGATAAGGTTGCAATTTGGCAGCGACGTGTCCTCGGGCGACCATGGATGGAAGAGGGTACATACCTTGCTTGACACGTCTGCACCATGCTTCGCGTCTGCACCATGTTCCGCATCTGCACCATGCTCCGCCCGTTCCTGAAAATCGTTCATAACTGTTGTTCCTGGCTGCTTGGTGGACTGCATCTGGTGCAAGTATGTTTGCCAGGCGACTCTTGGAGACGGATACTTGCACTCACCCTGCGCAATTTGGTGCTGATGTTTCCATTTGTCTCCTCCATTTGCCGTTGATTCTTGCTGGCAGAGGGGGCCCATTCGGGAAAGGCATGGCGAACAGTGCTGGCGTGTTCGATGTATCCCAGACAGCTGACTATTACAAAGCAGAGTTGCAGAGAACAAGAGATACCTCACCAGAAGGAGACAATGTATTACGAGAGAAAGGAGGTATACGGAAGCGCAGGTGAGAGGACGTCCACGGGTCTATCTGCGCTAGTAGCCGTCGTATCCTGCTTCTCCTCACGCTCGTGGTTGTGGTCATGGCGCTTATGATGCTTGTGTTGGTCGCGATCAGGGGTGGTTGTAAGGAAGTTGACGATCAACTGCCAGAGGTTGTTCCCGCTCATTGTATGATCCTCCGTGAGCACCGCATGGTCCGCAATCTTGGCCAGCCGTCTCGCCTCCTCGGTATCCCGTCTCGATACAATGCTGCTCGGCGGTGGGTTCTCGTCCATGTCCAACGCCCACGCCCACTGCCAGCTACCTGACGCCACCAAGCCCTGCACGGCCTGTCCGCCCACTACACCCTGCTCTTTCTCCCCAGTGTCAGTCCCCTCCTGTTCTTTGTCGGTCTGAAGGAACGCTTGGAGCTGCACCGTATTCCTCATCGTGTCCTGCCGTGCGCGCTCCAAGTTACGGGTGCGCGCTTTCTCGATCGCCGTCGTCGCTTTCTTGAACTTCTTCCCGAACTTGATCGTCCCATCGATATAACGTCGCACCGCAAGCTCCGAGATCTCGCCGATGAGTTCGGAGGGCAGGCGGAACGCGCTCAGCTCAGACTCGGGCTCGAGCGGGCGGATGACGCCCCGCGTCGAGATGCGTTCGCGGATCATTGTATCCTGTGTCGATGGTGAATGGAAGTTCAGCTGAGGCTTGGAAACGCCTCAGCGGCAGGGATGGAACAGAGAACTTACCAGACCGTTGTCATATACGTCCACCTCGCCGGCATAGTGCTGTAAAGGGTCGGCGCTGGACCTGTGGAACTGCCATCGCGGGCCACCAACATCTGATGACTGTGATGAACTGTGCCCATGAGGTGGGCTACGAGGGCTGCTTGGGATAGGGGGAACCTCGACTTCCGAAGTCGCGTGTCGACGGCGCAGGAAGCTACTTGCGCGCGACACGCTGGCGCTGAACGCGCGACGTTTCGACTTTCTGCGCTCGGGCGCGACAGGAGCTTCGGAAGGGCCGCACTGCGAGGCGCCGACGCTGTTCGCAAGTGAGGGAGAGCTTATTGTACTAGCGACATCATCAGCCACCAGAGGCTCAGACCGGGCAATTGGTAGGTGAGAGGGTCCGCTGAGCGAGGCTTGTTCCTGGTTGGCATGGGTCGTGGAAGCAGAGCTGAGGAGGTTCATCTGCGTACTCTCAGGTGATAGGGTCGTTCTGTTCTCGTTACCCAGGATCGTGGGCACTTCCGTGCTCGGCTTGGGGAGCATGCCTGTCACGTACTTGATGAATGTGGCCATTGCACGGAAGCAATACTTGCCCGGGGTTGTAAACGCGAATAAGATCGGAAGCGTATGCGCGCAATCTGCTCCTTGGAGGTGAGACGTAGAGATCGCTTGGCCATTGGAGGCACGTACCGTCGTAGACTTGTAGGTGAACCTTAGTCGGCCCGCATCGCTGCTCGATCCCCTCTAGTGCGGGGTACAACAACTTTGACTCGGGCTTCACAGGATACTTCTCCGGATGCGCAGCCTTGTGCGCGCTGCGTGTACAGTCCCGTCAACCGCATTTACGATGAAGACAAAGAAGTTTCTGTACTCACAAGTAGATGATCTCATCTCTTAGCACCTCCTTATCCCCGGCACTGACGAGCAGCGGCGGCAGCCCACCGAGGTAGCTCACAACCGGGCTCACCAACGGATGCGTCAACAAATAGTTCGGCGTGTACATGTGCACCTGCCCGTCGATCGCGAGCCTCTCGCCCTTCGCCGTCGTCATCTCCAACTTCTGGCTCCGCACACTGTCCAGGGCGACGGCGGTAGGAAGAGACTGCGCTGCGCCCGGGTGCAGCTTGCGTCCCATGGACGGGTCGT